TTCTTCCTGTGAGAAAACCAGGGTAAAGCATTAGTGCTTGGCTGTTCTGTGTGACTGTGTGTGTGTGTGTGTGTGTGTGTGTGTGTGTCTGTAGGCAGGAGCCCCGGCCTCAGGTTTGCAGGTATGGATGTAGACTCTTCCCCCTGTCTTACGTTAATTACCTGTTACCTGCATTTTCTGATTAGTAAAGCTATCTGTAGGAAGTGTAACCCAGGGGCCATCATTGATGTGATGTTGGGTGTCCCCAAGCACTGAGAATCGCCCTGAGCAGACAAGGCATGGGTGCCCTACTCGATGCTGTCTCAGTTTTACTGGCCTCCGACAAAATGCTTATAGTCATTAGGGAATGTCAGAGCTGGAAGGGACCTCAGCAGCCCCTAACCTGTAACTTCCAGGAGGTATTTGGAGACCTAGAGATAAGGGAGTCCCAGTGAGTTTGTGCCATCAATCCCAAGGTCCCATGCTTCCTGATATCTAAACAGCATCTTCAATACCCAACATCCCACCATCCTTCCATGGGTACACACAGAGCCCAGGCTCCAGCATGCCAGCCTGTGTCACATGATCCAAGGCCATTCCAGGATACTGGAAGTAAAAGGGGCCAGCCATGCAAGGAAAAGTGTAAGGAAGACACATTAAGGAAGGTACATTGGTGGCTTCCTAGTGAGGACACTGAAGCTGGGACTCCACCTCTGTGACAAAATAAATGGCACCCAGAGAACATAAGAACTGAAAACAGTCCAGAACATGGTTTCTCTGGATGCTGACCTGCACAGCAGAGAGCTTGGACCTGACTAGAGGCGATCCTTTAGAGAGCCAGGGTTGCTCTAACCAGTACTCAGTTAACCCAAGCTAGTGTCTCATATATATTTAACAGAACATGCACCTTGTCTGCCAACAGCTGGGAGTAGCTGCAGCCCTGGCTGGCCTGGTGCAGGTTAGCTCCCTGGAGCCAGGGCAGGCTGCCCCTTCCTCCCTCCCTCTCCAGCCTTCCAGCACTTAGCCTTCTGCCTGCTATGGACACAGGGTGAGAATGTTTGTTGAGCATCTGCCATGTCCTTGGCCTCTTCCTCATGGGGCAGAACTGCTCACGTGGACACATGGTTTTCTCTTGTTCCTCCCCTGAATTCTGACACACCAGGGACAGGCTGAGGGTGAAGGGTCGAGGAAGACAAAATTTAAGGGTTGGGTGCCAAAACCATCAGCATCCATTCAAGAGAGTAAAGAAATACTTTTTTTAAAAGTCCACAAGAATAAAATAACAGAATTTTAGAGAAATACTGTGCCTTCCCTTACCAGAGCCTGTGGCAAAAATCTGAAGAAAAAAAAACTGAATAAGAAAAATCTGTAATAATAAGCTTGTCTTTATTAAGTATTGATAGCTTATTCTAAATGGACTTTTTTGTCATTTGTTTTGAATTTTGAAGAATAGTACATTAATGTATCTATTTTAACTATTGAAATTCAGGGCCCTTTGTGGTTCCATTCAGAGACCAGTGTCCCGCCTTGCTCCAGCTTGAAGCTTATAAATGACTCAAGTTGTAAGACTAGAAAAGTCTGAGAGGCCCAGTGGTGGGTGTCCAGGAAGATGGGTAATGTGCCTCGCTGTCCTGGCTTCTGCCAGTGCTGCTCGGTGTGTGGCTGGTGTTACCAATCAAGGCTGTTCTGCAACCACTAGTCCTGGGTTCAGATCCTCGTATCAACCCTGACTACTGACCTCAGATGACAACAGTCTGGGCATGTCCCCTAACATACAGGAAGAGGCAGCAGCAGACACCCCCGTTGTGGTGTGGGCATGTCCTGAGATGACAGCTGTAAAGAGGGTGGGGACCTCAGAGCCTAGAGTGTGGGGCTAATTCACAACAGACCCCGGAGCTATGTTTACCCAACATCCGGGCAATGGGGGATTGCCACAGAGGTGTGTTGAGTGCCTCAAGAAAAGCAGGGGCTGTTCAGAGCTTATCCTTCATGACGGACAGTTAAACCCCAAGCTTGAAAAGAAAAAGGGGGAGCAGGATGGTGGTGGACTCAGCTTGGGGGCAGAGAGATAAGACAGGGCCAGGACAAGGGACCCCTGGACAAGCTGGTTCTTCAGAACTGCTGAAGGCATCCAAGGCAGGGGGTGGGCATGACAACACACTCATCTATCCTGCCCTGTGCCACATGTGGTTGGGTGCTAGGCTCTGCAGCAATGGACATGGTATGTGAGGCCCTACCCTGGATGAACTCTGCTGGAGGCAGAGGTGGTCAGGGCAGAGCTCAGAGAGGGGCAGGGGTGGATACACAAAAATCAGGGCCATGTAGTTGGCCAGAGGAGCATCTGCAGGGTAGATGCCTGCAGATATCTGCAAGATACTGGCTTGACAATGGTATTAGAATAGCCTCTGTGGTGTTCTAGGGAAGACCTGAGCATGTGTCATCTCAATCCCTGGCCACAGGGCCGGACAAGGGACCACAATAACCACAGAGGATGATCTGAGGGTGACGCTAAAACCACATGGGAAGTGGCCAAGCTAGGATCTGTCACATCCCTGCTTGATTCAGTGTGGCTCTTTGATTAGACCCTCCCTCTCTTCTAATCCTTAGAGACAAGATGACAGGCATCAGGTTGGCTGTGGCTGCTGAGGAACAGGTGGGAGGTGCTAGCAAGGATCTGAAAAGTTACCCAGCGACTTCTAGGGTCCCTCACTAGCTGGACTCGGGGCCTCACCTGCACTCCTATCCCAGAGCAATGAGAACTAGCATTCATGGGGCTTACTCCAGTGTGCTCAGCTCTCTGCCTGTCCTCTGGGCTTCTAGATTCTCTAAGGGAGCCATGCTAACTGGCTTGCTGTGCTCTATTAGCTCCCTAGAGCAAACCTGACTCAGTTCTTGATCCTAGCAACTTGTGACATGAACACGTCAGGGATGTCACAGAAGGGGATGTAACTAGCTATCCAAAGTGATTGGCCCCTGACCACAGGCCTCTGCAGCCAAATTAGAGTAGACGAAAGACCTGGATGCAGGTGCTGTTCTCTCTGGGGGAGAAGGGGGGGAAAGGTGATTACCCCATAGGTTTGAGGCTTTAATTGATTTGTATTTTTCTAGGCTGCTAAAGAAGATTGGATCACGGTATGAAAAGTGCCTAGGGCTTAAAATAAATGAGGAGAGACGAAAGCCACTTCAAAAATGTCCAGGAAGCACACTGAACCCCCCGGTGCAAGCTGCAGTGTGGCTGTTGCCTTCTTTGTTGGGAAGGTCTCATCTTTGCTTCCCCAGCTGACAAGTCTACCAAGGCCTGAGGCCTTTGACAAAGCAGGTCACAGGGACGGAGGGCTTCACTGTGGCTTTATATGGGCAGGTGTCATAATCCCAGGTCAGGACTGCCGTTCTCAGCCTTGAGGCTTCCTCTGATTTCTTTCTCAGCCCCTGGGCAAGACTTTCTCCTTTGCTAGGCCTTGGTCTCTGTTTCTGTAAAAGGAGGGAGTTTGGATGGAAACTCCTCCAGCTATGGAAACTTCCTCTCTCTGGTGAGGAACGAAATCAGAAAGAAGGAGATGACTTGCCCAGGGTCGTCTGCTAACCTCTGGCCTGCCTCATTCTGCAGTGTCTTGTCTGTATTCTGAGTAAAAAGGGTTTCATGTGACTGACACTGCTGGGTGCTGCAGCCCCAGCAGCTCCTGAGAGAACACCTAACTTGGTTCTTGACCCATGTAAACAGATGACCTACAGGAGCAGAGTGACTCAGTTCCAAGCACTTGCTGCTCTTCCAGAGGACCTGGGTTTAGTTCTCAGCACCTAGATCTATTGGCTCACTGCCTGGAAATTGAGGTCCAGGGTTCCAAACTCCCTTTCCCAGCCTCTGCTCTTCCTCTGTCCGACCCATATACACATAAATAAATAAAAATAAAAGTTGTGAGAGAGAAGCTACTGTTGTCCAAAGTGATTGAGGTGAGGTTAAGATTAGTCTAACGATTAAATGAGATATCACTATGTACCCACACTGTCCACTTCTTATAGGCCAGTCACTGTCAGGTACTTCAGGGTAGTTGTGGGAGGAATGCCTGAGTGGTTCCCCACTGCTCAGGGTAGAAACTCAGGCCCACAGCAAATTTGTCAAATTCACAACATCCAGACAGAGTTGGACTTGTGGGTGTCCCTGTAGGCTGTGCGTACCTCTCTCTGGGTGAGTACACAGAGCCCTTCCTCCACGCTGCCACCCTTGTGCCTTCTACATCAGCTTGCAGCTCTCCTCCCTCTAGGCCAGGACACCTCCACTTCTTTCTCCCAGACTCCCCTAGTGTTTTCAACCCAGCTCGTCGACGGCGCCCCAGCCCCCTTTACCCTTGTTTGACTTGGACTGGCCTTCGCCTCACAGAGTGCCCAGAAGCTTGCAGTGCCTCCGTGGGTGTGTGGGCCCCGGAGGGCGGGAAGGCCCTCCTAAAGTCTCAGGAAATGGGCGTGGGCGGGGTCGAGGCCATAGAGGCCAGGCGGGCTTGGCCGATTGTGACCACAGGTGCTATGGCAATCCGGTCACATGGCTCAGCCAGCCGCCCAAACCAGGAGATCCGCCCAGTTTCCTCCCCACTCCCCCGGATCTGGGAACTGACTTTTGCTCCTGTTGACACCGGTCCCACGCCTGCCCCAGCATTTTTTCGTTTAAAGATGGAGAAACTGAGATTCAGGGAGCAGGGTGAGCTTTCAGCGCCCAGATCCACACAGTGGCTACACCAAAAGCAGGGCTTGTTTCTGCCATCCGATCCCTCTCAGCCTTGGAGACATTCACACTTGGCGGCCCCTCGGGGCGTCCTTGAATCTTGCTCTGTGCCCCCTCCCGGCGTCCTAAAGCCATTGCGCTGTGACTCCACAGGCGTCCTGGGGGTTTGCATTGTGGCCCGTCCGGGACGGCTCTGCCCTGCTGAGGGTCAGGACCACGGTGGATGGAACTCTGGACCAGGACTCGCCCCAGCTGAGGCGCTCACCGATGACGCATAGCTTGGCGTCCTAGCAACGCCGTTACTAAGGAGCGGCGCTCTGTCCGAAACATGGATGCAACCACTGCTCCGCACCGTATCCTCCCGGAAATGCCCCAGTACGGGGAGGACTACCACATCTTCGAGATGATGCAGGTGACTGGGCGCCCGAGGATGTAGGACTACCGGGCCGGGCAAGCAGCACGGTCTAGGGGAGAAATTCCTTTCCTCATTTTTCCCACCCGTGAAATCGCGCAGTAGTCTCCAGGGCCTCCTGTGGAATTGTGTGGGAAACTTCCTCAGTAGGTTCCCGAGCCCTGAGTCCACAGTGGGAGGAGGAACACATACAAGAAGTCCAGTGATCTGCCTCCAGATCTAGTTTGGGGTCCGGAGTGCGGATTAGATTCAGAGGTCCATAACTAAGTAAATCAAGTGTGGTCCCACGTCACTGTCTCATATTTGTCTCTGCTCTACTTGCTCCCGCAAGGTGGTCTGACGAGTTGGAGGAACTCTGTGGGGTCTCTTCGCAGGAGACCAACTCCTCTGGCTGGCACCAGGCTTCAGCCTTTTTCTTCTCCCAGCGTGAGATTCCTGGGAAACTCCAGTTCTCAGAAATGATTGTCTCAGCTGTCAGCCAAAGGGACACATGTGTTTTGTCTCACGAGAGTGTCTTTGACCCTGTTAGGACAAGTAGGGGACTGTGTAAGCTTTGGATGACATACATATCCAGGAAGTCTCCTCTAGGGCAGCAGTGGATTCTACATAGCCTCCATCCTCAGGGCTGGCCTTTTGAAAGCCCTGGTCCGTCAGCTCTCCTGATACTGGCTCCCACCCTGTCCTGATTCCCAGCCAACTTTGGCTTTCAGCCAAATCATATTCCCCCTGCCCCCGCCCTCACCTATGTGTGCTCCAGTTTTCAACTTATGCTCTCCAGAAGCGAAAGTGACTTTTTAGGGGCTGGACTGATGAGCTCTCTACCACTCAGTGATTCCGGAGGCCATGGGCAAGCTAGACCTCAGCTTCCAGTACCTTATTCTGTAGTGTGAGGTTACACACACACACACACACACACACACACACAGAGAGAGAGAGAGAGAGAGAGAGACAGAGAGACAGAGAGACAGAGAGAGACAGAGAGAGACAGAGAGAGAGAGACAGAGACAGAGAGACAGAGAGAGACAGAGAGAGACAGAGAGAGAGACAGAGAGACAGAGAGAACCATGGTGGCACATGAGCCCAGGCCAAGGAACCCAAGTCTCTACCAAGAATCCTTCCTTTGGAAAGTATTAATGGGGGGGACATAGAGAGTGGCCAGCCACAAATAAAGCAGTAACTCTGGGGGCACCAGAGCAGAGATTCATGATCTTGGCCTGTTTTTTAGTTGGGTTGGTAGGGCGATAACCTAGAAAACTTTATCTTATTATCATTTTATTTTCAAATAATCTTAGACTTGGGAAGTAATAAAAATGGCATTCATCTCTTGTCTACCTTTGGGCCATGTCACCTGGGTCTTATCAAAGCCCAGAAGTGAAGCAGAAGTGAAGCAGAAGTGGGCACAGTGCTTGCGCCTGCACTGCTGGCTTTGACCTCACCCCCTCTCACATGCTTTTGGGTTTTTGTGGTGGTATGTACAACTCTATGAAATTTTATCAGATGTCTGTGGCTCTTACGGGATTCACAGATCCGTGTGAACACTGTCCTCAGACAGACTCAGCTTCTTTTTGTCTTGTCCTGAGAAATAATCTTGGCCTTATCTGTCTGGAGCATGCAGGTGTGTTATCTGCACAACCTCTTAGTCAAGAAGTGAACAGCAACGTATCTAAGCTCAGTCAGCCCAGCTGTGCCCCTGAACTGAGGGAGAGGCTTGTGGAAGGAGAGCGAAGACCCCAGGAAGCGGGGGGGGGGGGGGGACTTGCTGATGAGATCTAGAGTCTGAACAGGACTGCCCATTGGTGCTATTGACTACCCTGCACCTCTTTGTCCTCACAGGCCCCTCCCTACCTCCCCTGCAGCCTCGCTCCTGTCAGCTCTCCAGTTCCCTCATGTGCCACCCTAAAAATTGTTTCCTCTGATGTGTTTGCTCGGTCGGGTAAATGGCCAGAATATCCAGGACTATTTAAATACTTGGATGACAAGTATTCTGTCCCTCTGTGGAGAGACTCAGCCACGTAATGTCTTCATTTCCTGGCTAACATCTGCACTGGGCACCTACTGTTACTGTGCAGACAGGGAGGACCACAGAACCCATGGAGTGGTTGAGTCGTAATGAGGTGAGGCAGGGGACACAGGTACACATGGCAGGCCTGTGCAGGAGCAGAGGGCAGCAGGGTTTACCAGGCGCATTGAGAGCTCATGACCAAGAAGCCAGGTCAAGGAGCAAGAGGCCAGCATTCCCTGAGTCGCTGCAACAGGACAGCTGTGCAGGACTGCTTGAAGACTATAGGAAACACAAAGGGAGAATAGGTGGGGCCTAGCTGCTTGGGCTCCCTCAGGCCTCTGACACCAGCAGGTGTCCCAAAAGGTAGTCCCCGTGGCAACCAGGGTCCCTGTAGGTGTTAACCTCTTGACTTGTGCCCACAGAACATGCTGGAGCAGCTCCTGATCCACCAGCCAGAGGACCCCATCAGCTTTATGATCAGTCACCTGCGCAGGAACAATGATAATGGTGAGCACTCACTCAGCGTGGAGTAGATGCTGCCCCCTCCAGTGACCCTACCCCATCCTGACCATGGCCCAGAGCCCTCTCTGTCCTGTCTGTGTCTGAATGTGGATCAGAACAGGACAGGGAGGGGAGGTACTTTGACAAGTTGCAGTAGCTAATTGGAGAATGTCTCCTTTTTCTTTTTGAGCCTAACTAATAAAAATTCTCTTGCCAGGCTATTAAAATGCAAACCCCAGACTGGCCCATGTAATCAGTTATTAATGCTTCTGCCTGCCCTCACTGATGTCGCCTGTTGGGTTTAAACTCTCTGATCACTCCTCTTGTCAGGTGAAGTTTGGATTCTGGTCTACCTAGACAGGCGAACACTTGGACTTTTCCAAGGGTCTCTCTCTTATCAGCACCTGCTAATGAATGGCCGAGCTCCCCAAACCTCGGCCAAATGCAGGTTGGCTGTACCCCAGGCTCTGGTGCAGAACTGGGAAGAGGAAGGTCCTCCAATAAGCAGTGCCCCTCCCTGCATCCCAGGGTTTAGATTTGCCAAGCCAAGAGAGGACCCTTCTGCCCTGGGTGAGCCACTGAGGGATCTGGGGTCTTGGTTGGTTGGTTTAATTTCTCACTGGTCCATTAGCAGTTCTGAGGGAGCCTTATCTTACCGGTAAAGTTGGCATCCAGGGCTTGAGATGTCCCATGGTGAGACTGGGCTGCCTATGGTCAGAAAGGATGCTAAATTGTCTAAGAAAAAATAGGTTTGGGTTTAAGCTGGGTGTGGTGGCACATACTTTTAATTCCAGCACTCAGGAGGCAGAGGCAGGTGGATCCTTGAGTTTGAAGCCAGCCTGGTCTACAGAGTCTCCCCAGGACAGCCAGGGCTACACAGAGCAAGCCTATTTTGAAAAAACAAAACCCAACCCAAACCAAACAAAAATGTTAGGTTTTAAAAAAAAGACAGATAGACAGATAGAGTAAATCTTGTGATGGTTACATTGTAACTGTCAGCTCTGCCCAGGCTACTATGGGCGGCACCATTCTGTGAAAATAGAGAAATCCAGCAGAACACAAGCAGGCCAGAGCAGGCAAGCAGGTTCTCCCTGTTCTTGACTGTGAATGTGATGTGACTGGCTGTGTGAGGTTCCTGCCTTGACTTCCCTTCAGTGATGACCTGTAGCCTGGAGTTGTAAACTCTACTATCTCTTATAAGCTGCGTTTTATCATGGTAGTTTATGATTTAGCAACAGAAATGAAATTAGAAGAAATCTTTATTTTTTTTTTTTATAAAGGTAGAGCAGGTTCCATGCCAGCAGATGCAGCCAGCTCACCAGACGTTCCCACACACCTTGGTGGTAGTCAGAATGAGGGTCCTCTTTTATCCCAAGCCCAGTGTGTGGACCTCAGCAGGGAGTTCTAAGGGAGCCCCAAGGCTCTTCCAGGTCACAAATGGTTGAGTCTGGGTACCCCAGCACTCGTCTGAGATTGAGATCACAGACTGAGTGGAAACTGAGCCATGACAGGAGAGAGATGGGGAATTCTATCTCCTAGACTTCCACCCTGCTTCTTCTGACCTCACTTATCCTTCCTGGGGCAATTCCTTCTGCCTCCTCCCTATAGCTGGCCAGTATGCTGAGCTGGAGGGAGCTCCTGCACTGGGCCTATTTGCTGTCGACATGAGTGTCCTGTCTGGGTGGGTGTGCCTCTCAGGTGAGATGGAAACTTAAGGGTTCTCTGGAGAGTCAGTTGTGTTGGATGGAAATTGGGAGTTTAGTTTATAGGTCAGCAGGCAGCGGCAGCTCAACCCATTCGTAAACACCTCACGGACACACCAGCAGTCCAGTTCGGTAGAGTTGGGTTAGCAACAGTGGTGACACGACCTAGCAGAGACAGCCAGGCCTCAACCTCAGCCGAGACAGCAGGAGGGACCTGGAGGGACACCAGAAGTTCTCAGCTGTGCCTCTCTCAGGGAAGCGAAGATCAACGAAGATGCAAGACCCACAAGCATTGCACAGCTAGCTGTACCAGTAAGCTAAGCTCTGTCTCTGTCACTCCGAGGAGGAGTCCTATTTATACCCTCCAAACGTCACGTGTCCTCCACGTGCCTTGCCTCAGCAGGTGCATCTAATCAGCCGAGTCCTCGGAGTACCAACAAACTTAGCTCAACTACGCAGTGTAAGGCGGACCAATATCTGTGTGTTGTTAGCAAAGAGTCCTTCATCACGTTTCCTTTCATCTGCTTGCTTTAGCAGAACATCCTCTCTCCTGCGTCTGCTTCAGCTGAATGTTCCTTCATGAGTCGGCCTTAGCCTTTCACACCTGTGTCCACTTCAGCTAAACACTCCTTGGCATGTTTGCTCCAGCAAAACACCATCCAACCGACTTTCCAGAGAACCCTTATGCTTCCACTTCACTTAGGGGAGTTTTTAATTTTATTTTTAGGATTTATTTATTTTCATTACTTGAGTGTTTTGCCTGCATGCATGAGTTCATCAAATACATGCATATACACGGAGGTGCACATGGCTGTGAGCCATCATGTGGGTGTTGGAAATTGAGCCACGTCCTCTGCAGTAGCAGCTGAGGCTCTTTAGGACTGAGCTATCACTCCACACTTCCACTGTCGGACAGGGCTGGGGGTTGGGGGGATGCAGCCTTTTGAGCCAATAGCCTGAGGCTTCTGTAAACCTCTGCCTGCAGTAAGAGGCTGGAACTTGAGGCTACGTCTGCCTTCTCCTCCTGTCTCAGTACCGCTGTGCTGGCTGCAGCTCAGTGCTTCTGCATCAAATGCCCTGCAATAGCTTTCTCAAGTCTCTGCATCTCCATTCTGGGCTGGCCTCAGGGTAGTTGATGCCTGCTGGACAGCCACCTCCCTGTGTGACAATCTGCTTTCGGCCACCTACTACACATTTCCAGGGCTGTGACTTTGCAAAGGCCCTCTGCTGCAAGCCTGTGTTGGGGACGGGTCAGCCTCCCACCTGTCATGGGGATGAGTGTCACTTTCCAGCCTGGATGATCTTCAGGCACACAGACTTAGGTCCCCTAGCCGTGGCTTTAGTGGCCTAATTATCTCTTAGTTCTCCATCTCACTCTCAGGCCTGGTGAGCATTTATAGTTAGGGACAGTCACAGACTTTCATCCCCAGAAAAGGAAGGATAAAAGTGGGCAACGGAGGGGAAGCAGGGAGCCACCTTGCTGTTGTAATTTTTCTGGAGTGTCTCAGATAAGACATGTGTCATCAGCTTGAGCCACACCTCTCTGGAGCTTAGTGGGGTCCCAAGACATCCAGCACGAATCTCCCTCTCTCTGCTGGGCGGCAGTAAGAGTAGCTTGCCTCCTAGCCATCAGAGCCCAGAACACAACTCTCCTGCTTCCAGGCAGTGGGGCAGATTTGGGCACATGTCAAACTGTCCAGCAACTGACATGGGCAGCAAAAGTCAGGGCCTGTGAGCATGCACAGGTGGGAGGGAAGGAGCCCCACTCTCAGGCTAGCAGCCCCTTTGCCTCGAGAAAAGCATTTAGTACAAAGTGAGCGTTTATGGTGGCCCTGGGCAATATTAGCACAGGCGGTGGAGGGTATAATGGAGCGTTTCGCTTCTTATCAAACGCTTGTCCAGGAAAGCCTTGTATTAGAGTTCTGATACCTGAGGGGTTCCTTGTGAATTTTAAATCATGTTCCTAGTTAAGCCTCAAAAGGCTTCATGGATGGAAAGGTTCTTTGATTTCCTTTGAAGTGGTTGGAGGAATTTGATTACTCTTGGCAGTCAAGCCGCCTTTTATGACACTGTTTATAAATAATTACTCATGAGCTAGGCTGGAGTTTCAAGGTGTTAGATTTTAAGAAACCAAAATTAGTCGTATAAGTGAGTACGAGGAGTTGGGAGGGGAGAAGGGCCACGATGTTCCTCTTTAAAGTATTTCCTTAGGCGTGTACAATTTGGGTGCCACTTACAGGAGCCAGGAAGAGAGAGGAACAGCATTTCCCCCGGACCCCCAGCCCAGGGCCTTAGTCAAGATAAACACAGCAGCCAGGTGTCGGGCTTAGTCCCGGGATGCCCTGCTTACACCCTCGATGCGTCTCCCTTCCTCCCCAGCACCAGCACCCTGAATTCTGATAGATCCGGCCGGTGGCATTCCAGGGGATGGGCTGAGGCCTGTGCTTAGATCAGCAGGTGCCCAGTAGGCTCACACAGCAGCTCCATCCTCCTGGCTCTCTCTACAGCTGTACCAATTTCCCTGAGTTCTAGCAGGACCCCCCCCCCGCCTCTTTCTTTGGTCACTCCCCCTGCTGCTCTCCAAACCCTAGACTGAATTTTGTCTCCAACCTTACCTTCCCTTTTTACTGGACCGAGTGTTCACGAACCCACCTTGTTTCCACACTTGGGTTGCAGATGGTATTTCCTACTTGCTGTGGTGTCATCTCTCTCAGGTGGAGGCTCTGGGTGGCCTTGTCTTGGCTAGGAATGAGCCCCTTGCTTCCTGCCCTGACTCTGCTCTGAGCCCTACCCTGACATCTCAGACGCTGGCAGTGCCATCAGTTTCTGTGACAACTATGCTGTGTGCTGCCCCTCTTCAGCACTTCTCTCTGCGAGGCCTGGCTCCTATATGGCAGTGGTTGGTGGCAGCCCGGGGATCACAGACCACAGAGAATCAAGGAAAAAGATTGAGGTGTCAGTGACTGGAACAGCTGTGTTCTTTCCCCAGACCATTTTGTGGCCTTGCTTGGGGCATCCTTCCTGGGAAGTGGCCCTGGCATGGCCCCTAGCTGTGTGGGACTCTTTGAGCCTCTGCTCTTTCACTAAGGCATGTCTTGATTTGGCTACCTGAGGATTCTTAGCAGTCCCCTATAGTGCTGACCAGCAAAGGAAGCCCTTTGTAGGTGGCAGCAATGGTGACTTTCAGTGGTTACATCCAGAACTTGGGACAGTCGAGATGCCGTTGCAGGTGCTGCTATGTTTGTGACCACTGACATGTGGATGAGACTTTGTACCTGTCCCCAGGGACTGGCCATTTGCTAAGAACAGCTGTGCCCCTTGTGATGGAGCTTGCCACAGTGGAAGGGAAGCTGTAGCAAGTAGCTTGACCAAGCCTTCACAGTGGAACCAGTGTGTAGTCTCAAGCAGGAAGAAGCAGTGAGACCCTGGGTATCTCCTGGGTCCATGGAGGCAAAGACATTCTTGTCAGGGACATGACAAGTGAAAAATATGTTTGGATCATCTGGGGAAAACCAGGGCTGCCTCAGGCCTCTCAGCTCAAAGGAGGGGATCACTTGGGACTTCAGAGGAATTCTCGGAGCCCCAGAGCTGTTAGGAAAAGCAGGGCCTATCCTCACTTTTGGAAGCAATACTCCTGCGGGGTCCTGCTGGGTCCTGTTGGGTCCTGTTGGGTCCTGCTGGGTTCCCTAAAATATCAGGGTACTCAGGCCAGCAGAGTACTGTGGTACCTGAGTTATATGGCTCACTGTGCCTAGCCTGCCCGCTATGTGGAAACATGTGGAACCTCTGTCCTGTGCCTCTGTAAGACTTTCAGGGGGGGGAGGGGTTGTAAGCAGGGAGAGGAGTCATCTCACACTCGAGATCTCCCACCTCCTTAGAAGTGGGAAGATACTGAGAATTTGGGCAGAGATCTATTTAAATGCAAGCAGTCTAGAAGGGTGGCCATGTGCTTAGTCACTAAACTGCTGGTCTAAAGGATTCTCTCTGGATCCACCTCTGTGTCTGTCCCCAGAGTGGACAGTCGTCCATGCCTCATCGCCACATGGAGAAGAGGCTTTCCAGCCCCATGTGCACAGTACAGCCTCAAGAGAGTTGGGATAGACAGTGTTCATGTGTCCCAAGGCTGAGGGGGGGGGGTCACTTTAGACAAGTAGGATGGAGGTGACATCAAGAGACTTCATTGGCAGTCACCCCTGGGGTTATGTGTCCATTTGATCTTATTTGTGCCCACGCCCCGGCCCTTTTCACTGTGGTAGGCTTCTCTTGCCCACAACTACTCCATGGTTCCTGAAATGACCCCACTAGAGCTTCTGCAGAAACCCAGACTATCTCAGAGCCAGGACTTACAGCCACAAAGAAGCTGCCAGGGTTTTTAAAAATTTGCATAGATATGGCTGCTTTCTAACAAAGACTTGCCCACCTTGGGTTTTATAAATCTGGCCTATACACCACAGGTTTTCTTTCCATTATTTTCTTCTGTAAAATGATGGGGTGGGAGGATACAATTTGCTAAATAAGAAGGCATATATATATATATATATATATATATATATATATCTATATATATATATATCTCAAAGGTCGATTTACATAAAATACAACTTTATTTGAAAGAGTGTCCCCAAGACAAAGTCCCTGCTTAAAATGTTTTATGGCATTTGAAAATCCCAATTGTTTTTGATATTCATTAGTTTGGCAAACAAGTTACTGTGTCTGTGTCCCATCGGAGATAGAAAAATAACCCACCTTGGTGATCGCTTACCTCTCTAAACACGGAGGATGCGTTTGGGGCTCGAGCATCTCCCAGCCTCAGTGTTATGAATGGTCATGTCACTGGCAGAGATGAAATCTGGGGAGGGAAGAAAGAAATAGACCCAGAGCAGCACAGGCATGGGAGGCCACTTTGTCATGCCCAGAGCTGACATTCAAATCTTTTTCTTCCACAGTGCCGAGGGTTGTGATATTAGGCCCGCCTGCCTCAGGGAAAACCACCATCGTAAGTGCATTATATTAAATGTCATTCTAGAACGTGTCATTCATGCTCCAGTGAACAGGAGGCTGTGCACCGGCAGCTTGTCCATACGCCTGCACTTCTGCCACCTTCTTGTTACAAATGGCAGCACATGTTTATAGTTAGGGTTTTAGTTAGGTGTCTTAGTTACGGTTGCATTGCTGTGAAGAGACACCATGACCACGTCAACTCTTCTAAGGAAAACATTTAACTGGGGCTGGCTTACAGTTCAGAAGTTCAGAATTTCAGTCCATTATCATCATGGCAGGGAGCATGGCAGCATCCAGGCAGACATGGTGCTGGAGAGGTGACTGAGTGTTCGGCATCTGAATTGGCAGACATCAGGGAGAGAGAGTGAGCCATGGAGCCTGAACCTCAAAGCCCGCCCCTAGTGACACCCTTACTCTAACAGGACCACACCTCCTAATAGTGTGGCTCCTGGGAGCCTGAAGAGGGCCATTTCCATTCAACCCACCACAGGTGGAAACTCCTGGGCTTCCCTCAGCTGTGGCTGTGGAATGCATTTCTAGAAGGATTTCTCCACCAAGCAGCCTGCATCCCTCAGAGGCTCCAGTCATGGAGTCTTAGTGCTGACTGTGACCCCAGGCTGTCCGCAGACTCACAGCACTCCTCCCTCAGTAGCTGTGACTATAGGCATGCCCCCATGGCCAGCTGTAGGTCCAGGTTTTCTTTTTTCTTGTTATTACATTCTATTTATTTTGCATGTGTTTATGTGTACACGTTCAAGTTAGTGGTTGGAGGGGCATATATGGGCCATAGTTCACGTATCAAAGTCAGGGAGTAACTGCTAGGAGTTGGTGCTCTGTCTATTTTGTGGGTCCCTGGGATCGAACTCAAGTCATCAGGGTTAGCATGAGGCACCCCAACCCACCAAGCCAGTCCCTAGTTGGAGTCTGAAAATGCCACAAATGAGTTAGATTACGATAATCAGAGGTGGGACGTTTTTACCTCTAAGATCATGTCACTGTAGGGTTGGCTGTTCCTTGCCGAGCTAGTACTTGGCCTCAGAGGGGAACAAAAGGGGGTGATTTGTGGATAAACACCCGGTACATGCTGCACTGTGAGGGTCAGCACAGCTGTCGTCATCTGTCTGTATGTTGGTTTGTCCTGTGTCTCCGTTTGTGGTTTTTCTGTTTTGTCTCCCCCTTTAAGTCAGTGTCCCTGAACCCAGTCCCCACCATTATTACCTCACTTTTGGAGACAGGGGTTCCCCAACTTGTCAATCCTTGGCATTACCTGAAAACTTCAGAGTCCTGGACTCTGCTACAGATGGGCGTGCCCACCCCTGGGGCCAGGCCTAGTCCACCAGACACCTGCTGGGCTCTTACTGAGCTGAGTTCTCAGCAGGAGTGGAGCACCTTAGGTGGAGCGCCTCCTTTAGGGCTCCTCTCTGATCACTAGGAGGGAGTTGCTGGGCAGAACAGGTGAGGAACACAGAGGCTGGTCTCCACCCCTCCCTTGTGGTCCACAGAGCTCAGAAAAGCAGCCACTTGGCCCATGGGTGGACGGCCACACAGAGCCAAAATGGTGGGTGAGGCAGGCAGTGCAGATGAGAGGGAGGCTGGGGAGCACCAGGAATGTCCACCTCTTGGGGGCCTCTCCAGTTACCCACAAATGACTCCATTCCCACGACCAGCCTTCTCTTCTTTTTCCAGGTTCTCTCACATGACAGGCAAGTCCTCCACTGCTAAGCGAAGGTCCCGTCTCTGGCTCCTCAGCCATCTTTTTTCTAATAGAATGTGGAAGGATTTGGCAGACTTAATTTCACTGTGGTTTGTTTTGTTTGTATTTAGATAGGGTCCCTTTATTTAATCAGGTTGGCCTCCACCATTCTCCTGCCTCAGCTTCCCAAATGCTAACATTACAGCCATGTACTACCATACCCAGTCAAGAGAGAGGGAGAGAGAGAGAGAGAGAGAGAGAGAGAGAGAGAGAGAGAGGACGAGAAGACAATCCTTGAGCACTGTGCTCATTAACACCATCTACCTCCTTTGAGACAGGGTCTCTCGCTGGCCTGGAACTCACCACTAGCTTAGACTGCCCAGCCAGGGAGCCCCGTCTCCACCTTCACAGCACTGGGAATGCAAGTGTCACCACACCAGGAGTTAAGTTGTTACATGGGTTCTGGGGTCCGGATTCAAGTCTCTCTCCTTGTGAGGGAAACACTTTACAGACTGAGCCATTCCCCGCAGCCTGGCAGAGCTGTACACCTAAGGTGTGCGTTGTGATCACCATCTTGCAGAGCTGTGTCCTAAGGAGTGTTCTGTGACTCTCTCTCTCTTGCTTCCCTCTCTTCAGGCCATGTGGCTCTGCAAACATCTAAACAGCAACCTCATCACCAAGGAGAACTTACTAGAAAGAGAGTTTTCCCAACTATCTCTGGAAGCCAAGAGATACTATCAGGTTTACAAGGTACGGCTGGCCCTGGGCCAAGGGGCAAGGACAGAGGACAATGCAGCAATGGCTTTAGATCTCCACTTCCCACTTGCTTGGCTAGTTTCCATTTTCATTTTTAAATTCATTTTTATAAGATTTATTTTTATCTGTGTGTGTGTATATGTGCATGTGTGTGCATGCGTGCTGTGTGCATGCAGCCACCCATACAGGCCTGCGGAGGGTGTCAGATCCCCTGGACCTGAAGTTAAAGGTGCCTGTAAGCCACCTAATATGGGTGCTGGGAACTGAACTCGGGTCTTCTTGAAGACAAGCAAGTAGTCTTGAGCATTCTCTCCAGACCTTCATTTTCTTTTGAATTTACTGAAAAGCAAAGTCTTGGGTAAAATAAGATTCAGGCAGATATGATGGGTGGGGGACTTCAGAGTTCAGGCCCTTCCTTGTGGGAAAGTGGGTGGAGTAAGGGAATGGTTCGCCTGGGATGAGACTGGTGGTCCAGCCCAGTGAAGGGCGTGGAGGCACCACATCTGCACTCCACAGATGACGTCTTTATGGCCACACTGGGCTCCAGGGCTCAGCTGAGCTGTAACTTAAAGGGCTGTCTTCAGAATAGCAGTTCTGGTGCTAGACTTTGGGAGTGTTTCTCTGACATTGTAGGGTTCTCCGTGTCCCCGAGTTTACCCTTAGCACCTTCCATCCCTGTTTTGTCTCCTGGCACATCCTGCAAGGATCAGGGACGCTGCTTCCCAGACACTACCAGCCATGTGCTTCACACTGACTCCAACCCCAGAGCTGACAGCCTCTTGAGTGGTGGGATTAACGGCATGCACCACCATGCCCAGCTAACCAAGTGTCTTTCAAAGAACAGGATTGGTTTTTATGTGTTTGGTGTATGAGTGTGTGTGTGTGTTTGTGTACACTCGATTGTGTGCGTGTGTATGCATGACGGTGCACGTGTGTGTGCGTGTGTGTGTGTGTGTGTGTGTGTGTATGGAAGCCAGAGGTTGATGGTGAGTTATTTTCTGGATCACTCTCCAGAATGTTTTTGGGTTTTGGTTTTGTTTGAGTCAGATCTCTCACTGAACCTGCAGCCTGCCAATTAGGCTGGCTGTTCAGCGAGTGGCTCAGGCCTGTGCCTGTTTTAGATCCTTGTCTTGTGTTTCAGGACACTGTTTCTCTTTAGTCAAAGAAAAATGCAGACTTTTTTTTTTTTTTTCAAAATTCCCTTTGGGGCAAAGAGTGAAGATTGTCTTTTGGCGTTCTCTGGGGTTAGGTCCCCTTCTGTGGGACCCTGGGGGTTTGCTGATACTCAAGTGTATGAGCCACTTTCCATGTGTCCTCAGCCCCGTCATCTCAGAGCCTAGAAACAGAGCTCTGGCCACAGTCAAGGCCTCTTGGCCCTTTAGTGCTTAGCCTCCAAACCACAGGAACGCCAGCTCCCTTAGTCCCCAGCCCCAGCCAGCCGATGTGCTCAATTGTGAGACAGAAACACGAGCCTGTCTGATCTTCCAACCAAACCATGAACTTGAGTTCACTTGAACCATGACAAAGGATGCCTTTCTGTCAAAACCAAAGACTAAAGTGGACAGCAGCAGATAAGAGCAGTGGTCAGAAATGATGGCCAGTGTGCTCCGTGACTCTGAGTGACCCCACCACCTGCCAACCCACACGCACGGGCTTCGAGAGCATGAGCTGGAGAGTTAAGGTTCATTCGAAGCTTTCCTAAGGGCGGGCAGGGCTGTGGTACTTACTGCCAGGCATGGGAGAGCCTCGGATCAGAGTGTCAGAACACCCCAAGGTGCAAGACTGCCCCCCAAGACACTGTGGATCCATAGCAGCCAGGGTTCACACAGCTTTTGGTTAATACTGAATTTTATGTTATGAAATATGATAAAGATATGCAGGAGTCATGAGAACCTTTTGGAACAGGCCCTGGCTTCAGCTGCTCCTATGTCAGGCCCACAGCTTTTAGGATTGAATTCTCCACAGGAAGTATGCAAATCAGGCAAACTTCCTCCACTAGGGGCTCCCAGCTTCACCAAGCCCCAGCATCTTAGAAACCATCTGTGGCATGTCTTGCCTCTTTCTTTTAGAGCCAGTCTTGAGGAGCAGGGTTGGGCCATGACATTTAAGGTCCTGGAAAAAGAGATGAGAGCCCAGTGCAGTGCCATCCAATACAACTCTCTTCTGTCAGGGCAGCTAATTATGTCACAGTTGTTGTATGAAGGGGCAGGGGACTCAATCACATGTTTCGTTGGACCAGAGCTTGGAAGGCTAGGTTCCAAGAGGCCTTCCTACAGCTGAGCTCCTCCTAATTCAGTTCTCCACACTGCTTACAATGTATTTTCCCTGTATCCCAGACAGACTGGAGCTGAGGACGACCTGCAATTTATGGAGCGCTGGCCTGCACATCCTGAGTGCTAGGATTGCAGGCACATGGTACCATGCTTGACTTTGTCTCTACAAATCTCAAATCAGGTGGATACAGCCCACATTGCTGGCTTCTGAGCTAGCTTGGTAGCCTCCGCCCTCTGCCCCACCACCACCACCACCACCACCACAGATTCCAGGGACCAACACTGCTTGTCTCTCCCTGGAGTCTGCCTCAGAGACATTCCCTCCTTTCTCTTCTCCCCTGTCCCCATCCACTGCCTCTTCCTCCAAAATCTAAGGGAGGTTACTGCCATTCCTTAATCTCCTGCTAACTTGCAGCAGCTGAGCTTTGCGTAAGAGTCTAGAAAATGTTCTTTTTAAAAACAAAACAACGGGCTGGAGAGATGGCTCAGCAGTTAAGAGCACTGACTGCTCTTCCAGAGGTCCTGAGTTCAGTTCCCAGCAACCACATGGTGGCTCACAACCATCTGCAATGGGATCCGATGCCACCTTCTGGTGTGTCTGAAGACAGCTGCAGTGTACTCACATACATAAAATAATTCTTTAAAACAACTTTTTACTTTTAAATTATACTTAGACACGTGTGCACTTGTGGAGGTCAGAGGATACTTGGAAGTGTAAATTCTTTCCACCCAATGGGTCTCAAGAATTGAAACCCGGTCCTCAGGGTTGGCAGCATGTGCCTTTTCCCACTCAGCTGCTTCTCTGGATCTGAAAAAGGTTCTTGAGGCAGAACTGCTGTCTATGTGGAAGGCAAACCAGGGGTTCTCAGCTCCTCTCTTTCTGCTATCCTGCTGGAGTCTGTACTGTGCATTAAATGCCCACCTAGGTGACCCAAGGCCATTAGGGTCGCTGGGAATGGAGCCTGCTGATGACCCGAGTTCGTACCAATTCCTGTGTGAAATGAAGTCCAATTTTAAATGTTAAGTGGTCCCTGGAGGCAGAACCAGGCACAGGCCATACACCTGGCACCTCTGGGCAGCCAATAGCATGCCCTTCAAGAGAGTAAGGCATACTGGGGTATCAAGCCAGCCACCCCACCACTGGGCCCCAGAAGCTGCTACAAGCAACACTGGGCTCTGCCAGATGAGAAAAGGAAACCCAAGCTGGCTGGAGTAGCTGTAGCCAGTGCTGTCCCTAAGCAGCCAAGGACACAGACTGCCCAGGGTGAGTCTAGGCACTCATACCTGTGCTGGGAGGGGCCACCCTGGGCTCCATCAACTTGTCTGTGCCTGTCCCCCCCTAAAGCCAGGCCTGGGGGCTGGAGGGTGGGGGTGCACCCACAGGTTCTGGAAGGAGGCAGCCTGACTCCTGCAAAGACAGTTTGGCAGGGCTTCAAGAAGCAGCCCAGAAGCCCTTGTGGAGATATGACACATCAAAGCTGCCATCCAGACAGCACAGTGGCAGGGAATGGTAGGGGGCACTTGGGATGGGCCCTGCTCAAAGCCATTACCTAGCCCCTGCTGGGAAGGCTTCCAGAGGCATGTACTCTACCTGGGCTCCTTTCAGCTTTGTACTTTGACTGCTTGGATTCCCTGTGTCTGGGCAGATCCTCCTGCGTTCCCATACCTATGTGAATACTACACTGGTGGATGGCAGGAGAGGGGGAGGGGGAACCCTGGGAACTGCACAGGCTAGGAGGGACCTGGAAGAGACTGAGAAGAGAAGGTGCTACCTACTCACTCCTCCTACATTGCCAACGATAGGGGCACCATTAGACACCTAGGAGGGAAGTGGGCACCAGCAAAAGGGTGCTCACTTGCCAGTGGCCCCCACCTGGCAGACCTTTTGACTCTGAGGTCACTTTAAGTCAGAGGTTCTCCTTGTGAGGCCCACTCTAGGAGCAATTACATCACTTGGGGACATATTGGAACAGCAGATTCTCAAGTTCAGAACTTCCGGGGTGGGTTCCAGGAAAACCACTGGCAAGATTGAAAATTCGGCTTGATTGGCTTGCGTAGCATGCATGCATCAGGCCCTGTGTTGGACCCTCAGGAAGCAGAGAAAGGTGACACTTGCTTATAATCTCAGCACATGGAAAGTAGAAGCAGAAGGATCGGTTGTTCAAGGTCGTCTTTGGCTACATAGGAGTTGGAGGCGAGCCTGGGCAATATAAAACCTTGTCTCAAAAGAGCAGGGGCAGACGTAGGGGCACATGCCTTTAGTCCCAGCACTCAAGAGCAGAGGAAAGGATCTCTGAGTTTGCCACCCTGGTCTACAGAGCAAGTTCCAGGGCAACCAGGTATACACAGAAAAACCCTATCTCAAAACAAAAACCAAACCAACCAACCAACCAAACAAACAAACAAACAAGCAGAAACCCACAGGGCTGTGGAAGGGGACCTGGGGAGATGAGCGAGTAGGTAAAGAGCTTGCTGGGCAAGCGTGAAGTCCTGAGTTCAGGCCTCACCTCCCGTGTAAAAAAGTCAGGCATACTGATAATCCCAGCACCCGAGGAGACAGACACAAAGGGTCCCAGGGCTTGCTAGCCCGCCAGCCTAACCTACCCAGAATGCTCTAGGCCAGTGAGAGAGCCCATCTCAAAAAGCAAAGTGGATGGCACCTGAAACGGAAGTTCCAGCTATGGTTGTCATTACTTCAGGACTTAGAGTGTCACTGATTCGTAAAAGCCAGGCTCCCAAAAGTATGTCCTTGGCATTATTTTGATGCCAGGGCAGGGATCTGTTGGTCGACATTCCCACCCAGCTATCTGAGCTAAGAACGTCTATCATTTGCCTATCACTGTGGTGTGAACATTGCCATGAAAGCCAGCTTTTGGTCAGCAGTGTGAAGTCACCAAGTGTGCAGTTGGAGAGAGGCATGAAGTCACCGAGTGTGCAGTTGGAAAGAGGTGTGAAGTCCCCGAGTGTGCAGTTGAGAGAGGTATGAAGTCACCGAGTGTGTAATTGAGAGAGGTGTGAAGTCACTGAGTATGCAGTTGAGAGAGGTGTGAAGTCACCAAGTGTGCAGTTGAGAGAGGTGTGAAGTCACCGAGTGTGCAGTTGAGAGAGGTATGAAGTCACCGAGTGTGTAATTGAGAGAGGTGTGAAGTCACTGAGTGTGCAGTTGAGAGAGGTGTATGAATACTCTTGAGCCTTGGCCAATGGCTCCCACTCCTCTTTTGTATGAGGTACAAAGGCCAAAGCCACAGTTCCTTTCCTCAAATGCCACCACTGGGGTGACAGACACACCCTTGAACAGCTTCTCAATTGCCACCACCACTGGGGGTGACAGACACACCCTTGAATAGCTTGTGGAATGGAAACTTGAGTATCTGCACTCCTAGGGCATCCCCAGTGTAAAGTGTACTCAGGAGGCAGAGGGAATTTGAGGGATGGGGAAAGCCTGCTGCTTGGAGGTAGGTGTGGTGCTGGCTGGTCTAAAGACAGAGGACGTGGAAGGGCTGATGTGGGCATGCCTTCTAGGGGGACAGTACTCAGGGGCCCAGTCAAGGGCACTGCCCATGTCTGCCCCCTGAGCTCCATGCGTCTTTCTTTCAGAGAATTCCCAATTCAATTCTTGTCAGCCTTGTCCAGGAGCGTCTGAATGATGATGACTGCCTCAGAAGGGTAAGGCTGTCCAGCCCTGTACGGCACAATGCTGCCTGGCTGGGGGTAGTTACCAGGATAAGGGGGAAGGGATGTATCCATCTTCAAGGGTAGCTATCAGGCTACAGAGGTGAGGCTGGGAACTAGAAGCTCCATTATGGCCAATGTGTGGTCATGGGCCTCAGGGTAACTGTGGAAGTTGCCGGGGCTTTTCTGACAGGCTTTGTCGTGATGAGATTGATTGGGCTTGCTGGCTCTATGTCTGTGTGGCAGCTACTCAGCTCTGATGTAACGTTAAAAGCAGCTAAATACAGATATCTGAAAGGGTACAGCAGCAACTCAATGAAACTTTACAAAAGCATCTAGGATTGGCCAGGTCATACTGGCCTGTGTTGCTGGAGTCACCCTAGAGGGGCCTGGCTGTCTGGGGGTGCCCTGTGGGCCTCCTCTTCATCCGTCAGCCATAACTGTAGGGAAACACAGAAGGTAGGAGGGAGGCAAGGAGGTAAAGAGAGAGGGGGAAGGGGAAACTCTCCTTGGTGCCATGTAACATGGGCAACTGGCTAGTGTGAACCGAGGCGTCTGCAGCCTGCCGCCAAGCTCCTCTGAAAGTCAGGTCCCTCAAGCCACAGAGAAGACAAAACAGTAGTGATGGGTGAGTTCTTTCATGCCACTGCATCCTCGTGACAGTGTTTCCAGTGTGGAAGCCTAGTCTGCAGCGCAGAGCCGCAAATGCCTCAGGCTGAGTTACAGAGTGGTCCTGTGTGTCCTGGCAGCAAGATGCATTCACATGAACTCAGCTGCCTATCTGTGTTTTATTTTAACACATTAGACATGCAATATGAAGGGCTGGAGACGGCTAAGCAATGAACAGTGCTTGCAGCTCTGCAGAGGACCAGAGTTTGGTTCCCAGCAACCAATCAGGTGGCTCACAACTGCCCATAACTCCAGCTCTAGGGGATCTAATCCCTTCTGGCCTCTGTGGGTAGCTGCATACATATTTGAATATATATACATGCATACACATGTACACATAAATAAATAAATCTTTAAAACTGAAACTTGAGGTAGACACAGACCCAGCTGGTCAGGGCTGCCAGGTCTCTACCAAACATCATGGGGCGGTGTTTTCGAGGAAACTGTGGTTTTCTGTGAATTCAGTTGTAGATCTCAAGCTTGCCCTCCAAGATACAGAAGAGTCGCCGTGGCATTGCATCTCTGATCCTTGTCCTCACACATGCTGTGTGCTGGGGTTACAGACATGGACCCTGACACCTGGTCTGTGCAGAGTGGGGAATGGTGAGCACAGGACTTTGCATTTGGCAGGCAATCTCTCTTCTACCTGAGCTCAATGAAGTCTGATGTCTAGCAGTCCTTCTAGAGCCGATTGACACGCTTGACCTATGCGACCTCCTTTCACAGGACACATGCAGTGGAGACCAAGTTCAAAGTCAGGCTTCCAGAGTCCTTGCCAAGAGTCCCCACTGCCATCAGAATGATGACAGTTCCTGTTATCAATGTGTTTGTATCATAGTTGCTGCCTTGATTATATCTTACTCCATGTGATGACACTGTGTTGGCCACACAGATATTTATAATACTTACTGCCGTGGTGACTGATGATGCGTACAGCTTTATCTGCTACGTCTCATTGCAGCTGCATTTGTACTCTTTAGAAAACCTGTGACCTATTGGTGACCGCCCTGATCAGGGTCACAGCACATGGGGCC